CCGTGCTGCCTTGGAGGCTGACGCAGGTTTACCCTGTGCTGTGGGTGCTGCTGAGTCGTGCTGTGGGACCGGGAGAGCCGCGGGGGTCACTGCGGGGCCCTGGGCCGCCTTTTTCTGGGTACAACCCCTGAGCTGCAGAGCACCCCGAGAATGCCAGGCTGTGCTGGCTCTGCAGCTTGGGGCGGAGGGAGGTGGCTGAAGCAGAACAGACAGCGTGGCTTTAGTGCAGCAGACACCATCCACAGCAATAAACCCACAGCTTCAGTGCTGGGCTGGGGGTGAACTCGCCCCCCAACCACTCAGGTGCTGGTCAAAGAGCGGCTGGGTGCCTCTGCTCGGAAATGATGCTCAAGAAGAGCCGGGATGGCTTTAAAAGTGAAAAATAGAGTTTTTATTTGGTGCTTGCATAGTTAATTCATGTCAAGGTAACGTTCCATCCCTCATTGCACAGTGTTTGCCGTGACAGGAACAGTCATTATAGCGAATACCCTGCTTTATCCATGCAGTAGGGTTATATGCAGTATGTATTTATATAGATACAAGTAGATTTGTTATATATGTATATAGCATATAAACAGCTTTGTGCTCACAGTATACAATCTTTCCTCTACTGAATTGCGTTCAGAGAATTGTAATGGCACGCGTGAGCATGGCTGAGGTGCAGTCAGTGCTGGAGAAGGTTGTTCTGCTCTTTGGTTTATGAAATCTGCTCTGCTTCCCAGGGCTGTCAGTGCTGCAGAAAGAGGAGGGGGCTAGCCGCTGCCCAGCTGTGCTGGGCTCGGGGGGCTCTGGGGGTTCCTGCTGCACCCAGGCTGGGGGACAGGCAGGACGCGGGGACGTTTCCACCCTGCAGGGTGAGGGAAAGGTGGCAAAGCGAGCAGCTGCCACAGGGAGCCCCTGCACGCCCCCCTCCTGCCCCTGCTCCCGTCGCTTCTCTCCCCGCAGCACTGAGCGCTCCCGGGGAGGAGCGTGGCACCGCAGCCACTGCATGGGGGTCAGGCTGGGCTTCGGCAGTTGTCCTTCCACGTGCTGCTGGGACTGTCTTTGGGCTAAAGTGAGTCGGGGGCAGGCGAGCCCCCAAGTGGGAGGGGAAGCAGGTTCTCAGTGGCAGGGGGGGCCGTGGTGGCTGCTCACTTAGGCTGGGGCGCGATGATGACGTTGCGGTAGCCCTTCACCCCAGTCAGCTTGTCGCTCTCGAAGTCCACCATCAGCTTGCGCAGCCCCGCCTGGTGCGGCACGAAATCCAGCCTGAACTTGGCCTCTGCCTGTGGCTCCACGGGCTCCTCCCTGGAGGAGGGCAGGGGGGTCAGCAGGGCAGCCCCTCTCCCTCCTGGTGACCCATCAGTCTCCCCCTGCCCACGGTGCCGCAGGATGGTGCTGGGACCCTTGGGAAGCAGGGACCCCCCCGTGGCGTGGCCGAGCTCCCCTCCCCAGTGAGGTGTGGGGCAGAGATGCTCTGAGCCCCTGCACCCCGCAGGGACCAGCGTAGCCCCAGCTCCCGCTGTGCCCGTAACAGAGCCGGGACCCAGGGCCACCCTCCCTGGGAGGCTCCAGGCACAAAAATCCACCCCTGCCCCATTCCCAACGGCCCGGCCGGGTGAAGGGAGGAAAAGCTCTTACAGCTCCTTGATCCGCTGCCCGTCGGTGAGGCCGGCGCCCTCCACCACGAACATGCAGTTGTTCAGGGGGACTGCGAGGGGGTTCACCAGGCTGATCTCTGCCACCAGCTTCCGCTTCTGCATCGGCTCCCCTAAAACCTGCAAGCAGGCAGGGTTGGACCCCCAGCACTGCCCTTCCTGGGGGCTGCGGCGCTCCCCCTGCCCCGAGCCTGGCAGGGCTGAGGTAGGTCCCTAGCGATGCAGGTCCTTGGGGATGCAGCCCCACTCAGCGATGCAGGTCCTGCTGCCCAAGCTCCACCATGGTGGGGCTGCCCAGCCCCAGGGCTTGGGTCACTGGGACCAACCCCTCAGGGTGATTGCAGCAACCCCCTGCCAGTGGGAAATGTCCCCCTTAAACCCGCCTGGGACAGGGCGCTGAGCCTTTACCCTGATCTTGATCTCTGGATTCTGGATGTAGACATCCCTGATGGCCACGACGACATCGCCGGTCTGGTACTCGGTCAGGAGAGCCACCACCTTGATGAGGTTGTCCTGGGTCAGACTCTCCCCATACTTCTCGTACAGGATACATAGGGGCACGCTCTTCTCTGGAAGGGGAAGCAGAGCGGGGTCAGGGCTCGCCCCCTCCCCAACCCGGTGCCCACGGCCCTGCGCCGGCACCCAGCTGCTGCTGGGATGATCTGAGCTCCCCAGGAGCTTCTTTCTCCAGACGCCTTGCAAGGATGGGAAAGTCTTAGGGGAGCTGGGGTCCCCGCTGCGCTGGGGGTACTCCTGTGGGGAAGGGGCACCATGGGGTGGGCATGGCACCATGAGCCCACAAACAAGCCTGCGCTAGGGGGTGTCACTTCCCAAAGAAAACAGGTTATATGTAGCTGTCATCAACCCCCAGGTCACCGGCATTTCCTAAATGAGCTGCAGACACCTGCAGCCGGTCACCCTGTGCCTAGCTGGGTCCTCGGGGTGCTGCTGGGGTGCAGGGAAGCAGGGCTGCGAGCGCCTGGCTTGGGGCAGCAGGGAGGGACCTCACAGCCTGGCCAGGGCTCCGAAACCAGGCACCAGAAGTGATGTTCAGGGTGTGGGGAGGGGAAGGAGCCATGGGCCAGGGCAGGACCCTGGGGATGCGCCTGCACTGGAGCCCCAGAGGGGCTTCGCCAGCCCTTTGCAGCCAGTGCTGGCAGCGGGAGGCAGCCCGACTCCCCAGCAGCTGCCCTCGCTCAGCTCTGAGCGTTGTTTATCCCAAAGCCCTTCAGGGACTGGGCTGAGCGGGGCAGGGGGGTGAAGGCAGCCAGCTGCAGAGCTTGTCTTGGGGAAGGATCCTGGAGGGGCTGTGACTGCTGGAAGCGAAGCCGGGCGTTCCCGGGGCAGGACAAGAAGCGCTGCAGCATCGGCTGAGGCTGTGGGGAGAGGGACAGGCCCAGCACCACTCCAGCTGGGCTCCCTGTGCCAGCACAGAGTGCGGGGGTTCCCTAAAGGCTGCAGTTTGGGGAGTCCTGGGGTCTATATTCCCAGGCAGGAGCTGCGGGGAGAAGCTTCAGGAGCTCATAACTAAAGCTTCAGAGAAAATGATGTTGGATTAACTTGTGGACGGGAATGTTAAAGACCCTAAAGGCCAGCAGGGCTCCTCCAGCAGGCTGGGCAACGCACAGCCCCCGCTGTCCCCGCAGAAGACTCCAGAGCAGCTCTGCAGGTGCTGGTACCTGCCGGTGCTGACGTTGCAGGGAGGGGGTGCCCACATGAGCAAAGGCAGCATCCCGCTTCCCTTTGCGGTGGTGAGAGCAGGCCCTTTCATTACTCCCTTGATAGAGCCCAACAAATAGCAGAGAGCTGAGTGCTGCATTTGTTACGGGCCCCATCAGGAGAGCAGATCTTGGCGTAGATTAAAAATTAGGCTGTTCCAGGACAGCAGATGTATTGTTTCCAAGCCCTGAAGGGTCTGTGGAAAACTGACACAAATCAAAACTTTTGTTTAATTACGAGGCGGTAATGCCAATTTGTAACAAAGGCAAA